TGGTACAAATTTGTACCAATTTGTAGTGAATAATCCCTCTGATATAAAATAAAGGTTAGCAACATTGTTGCAACAAGTTTGCAAACTTAATCAGACTTTGAATGTAGATATAATATATAATTTTTTTTAATGAAGGAAGGGTCCCATGAAGGCAGAAATACCTCAGGCATAGGGAAGTCATAATGGGGCCCTGGGAGTCTGTGAGGAGAACATTTCCACAAGCCTGAGGGCTCAGGCGCAGTTCCAGGTGGGGTGAACTGCTTCCCTCACAGCCAACACAGGCAGGAGCTCCTGATAACAGAATAAATATTACCTGTTAACTATTAATGAAATGGCAGGCTTTATCACCTTCAATCTTCACAGCACTGATTAGTCTCAGGAGGAGACTGAACTGAGAGAAGTTAAGTAACTGGGCCTGAGGTCGCGCAGCTAGGAAGTGGTAGAGCCAATATTACAGTCCTATGCCATCCTCCAAATGACATTGGACTCCCTCCTGTCCCCAGGGATCTGGGACTTTCTGAAACCTTCCACTGGGGTGTGATGAATTGTTTTCTAGTTCTTTCTTGTGCCCAAGCTTGTCTCCCCTGCTAGACTTGGTCTCTTGAAGGCCCAGCTATATTTTATACTTTTCTTCTATGGAGGCCCTCAATCCCACGCATTTGAATAAAGTCATATATGCTTGTATGACATGAGGGAGAGTCTGTGTGGCCAGCTAGGCGATGTCCTTCTTGGCATCCCAGAGCAGCTTTGTCATGGCTGCTCTTAGGGCCTCTTAGCGCGGCCTGGTGGCCTCACATACAGTCTCTGAGGGCAGATGTCTAAGGGCCCATCACGAAGTCCTGGGAACCTGCTTCTGTAGCTGCTTTATTCACTTAACACTGCGCATGATCAAGGAACCATGGTCATAGAGGGTTCCCAAAAAATGTTAAATATTTTTTAAACTTTATTGGGGAACAATGTGTTTTTTCCAGGACCCTTCAGCTCGAAGTCAAGTTGTTGTCCTTTAAGCTTAGTTGTGGAGCTCGCAGCTCAGCTCCAAGTCCAGTTGCCATTTTCAATCTAGTTGCAGGGGGCACAGTCCACCATCCCATGTGGGAGTCAAACCGGCAAACTTGTTGTTAAGAGCACGCACTCTAACCAACTGAGCCATCCGGCCACCCACTGGCAGCTCAGCAGCAGCTCAGCTCAAGTTGTTGTCTTCAATCTAGTCGAAAAGGGCGCAGCTCACTGGCCCATGGGGGAATCGAACCAGCAACCCTGTTGCTCAGAGCTCGCACTCTGAGCCACCCGCCCGCCTCAAAAATGTTATTTTTGATGGCAGCATAATAATTCATTTATGTTTCGTAACATCATTAACTTAGCCAATCCTGTATTATTACTGATGTTTCACTTTCCAACTCTTTCCCCAATGACTATTAATATTATTATTATTGTTTCTGTTCAGTAAGTCAGTCCATAAATACTTATTAAGCACTTACTAAGTGCTGAGGACAACGTTCTGATCATCAAGCTTGATTCAAAGGTAACTTTTGGAATACTGAGCAGAACATCCCAAAACTTATGAGAAGTGGCCAAAGTGGTAGTCAGAGGAAAATTGATAGCCTTAAATTTTATTTGCTTTTATTTGTAAAAAGAAAAGATGAAAAATCAATGAACTAGACATTCAACTTGAGAAACAAAAGAAACACTAAAAGTAAAAAAGGTGGGCCGGCCGAGTGGCTCAGTTGGTTAAGAGCTCGCTCAAGAGTGCAAGCTCTGAGCAACAGGGTTGCAGGTTTGATTCCTGGCCCAAGCTGAGCTGCCACTGAGCTGCCAACAGGTGGCAGGATGGCTCAGCTAAAAAAAAGAAAAGAAAAAGAAAGAGAGGTAATGAACATAAAGGAAGACAATAAGGAAAGAAACAAAACACATAGATGGTTCTTTAAATAGATCAATATGGAAGACTGTCTAGGGATATGAACAGACTACCAATCCTTTAGTCAAGAGGCCTTCGTGAATATTCTTTACCCCACCAAGCTTTTGCAATTGCTTGGTAAAGTGTATTAGTTTTGTTGCTGTGTAACAAATTAAGAAAAACTTAGGGTCTTAAAATAAGAAACATGTTTCTCACAGTTTTGGTGGGTTAGGAATCCAGATAGAACTTAGCTGGGTGCCTTCTGGCTCAGGGTCTCCATATGGCTGTAATCATGTGTTGGCTACACCAGCCATCCCGAGGCGTAAGTGAGGGGAAATCCACTGCCAGGTTCACTCACATGGCTGTTGGCAGGCCTCGGGTTTTCATTGGCAACTGGATGAAGACATCAGTTTCTTGGCACAGGGGCCTCTTCTCCATAGGAATACTCGTAAGAGAGAGAGAGAGAGAGAGAGAGAGAGAGAGAGAGAGAGAGAGAGAGAGCGAGCGAGAGAGAGCTCACAGTCTTTTTTTTTTTTAACGATTTTATTGGGGGAATTGGGGGAGAATACAGCATTGGGGAATCAGGGAAGGGGAGCAGACATGTTGCTGTCCTTTTGTTCTTCAGTCTAGTTGTGGAGGACATCACTTCACTGGCCCATGTTGATATTGTGATCATTGCGCTCTTCCTGGCTGAGGCAGTTGCTCGCCAGCCATTGGACAGCTGCTCACAATGGCAGCTGCCAGTCGCTCACACTGGCTGGCGGCCACTCATGGTAGCTCATGGCAGCCCACTGCAGCAAGGGCTGCAGTCTATGCTGTCACTGGCCACTCACGGCAGCCCAGCTCCAGGTCGAGCTGTTGTTCACAATCTTAGCTGTAGAGGGCGCAGCGTCACTGGCCCAGGTGAGAAGCGAACCGGCGGCCCTGCTGCTCAGAGCTCGCGCTCCCAAGCCAACTCTTAACCAACGAGCCACTCGGCCGGCCCTAGATGTTTCTTTCTCTTTCTTCCTTCCTTTCTTCCTTTCTTTCTTTCTTTCTTTCTCTCTCTCTCTCTCTCTTTCTTTCTTTCTTTCTTTCTTTCTTTCTTTCTTTCTTTCTTTCTTTCTTTCTCTCTCTCTCTCTCTCTCTCTCTCTCTCTCTCTCTCTCTCTTTCTTTCTTTCTTTCTTTCTTTCTTTCTTTCTTTCTTTCTTTCTTTCTTTCTCTCTAAAAACCTTTTATTGATGTAAAACATACACGCAGAAAAGTGCAGGATTCAGAAAAGTATCCCTTATCTTTAAACATTTTTCTAAAACAAGTGAACTTTTAAGTTCTCTTTACTTTGTGCACTTTCCAAAACCTTCTACAGTGAGCTAGAATTACTACTATAATCAGAAAAATACCACCTTTACAAGGTGTAGTTTCTGTTGATTAGGGAGTTTCCGTGTATAAAGCACTTTAAAACTCCTTATCTTGCTTGGGCCTTGCCATGGCCCTGGGAGAGAAGCTGAGAAGGAATTAATTTCCTTGTGGATAAAATGAGGAAACCACTCTCCTCTTGGGGCGGGCAGGAGACTGCAGGTGGTGTCTTATGAGCACTGGGCAGTGAGCCACCTAGGCTCCTGGCATGGGAGAGCCCTCAGCTGGGCCAGCCTCCCAGCACCCCACCCAAAGAGGCCACTGCCAGCTCTAATGGAAAGTGTTTTGGCTTGCCAAACCAGGGCTCTAGAAAAATCCTACTTGTGGGAATCTGCCCTAAATAAGTTGTCATGATGCAGCCAATCTTTATGTGCAAATAGATTTAATGCAGTATTTTTAATAGCAAACATTTAGAATTGATGTTAAATGTTCAGCGGAAGGTAATTGGTTGAATAAATTTAGTCATTGAAAAGTGGAATATTTCACCTGCCATTAAAATATAGCTCAGAAATATAGATTTGTGGGCTTTAATGTTTGCTGAATGAAGTAGGATCAACAGTTGCATAGACAGAGGGGTGTCTAGCATATAAATCCATAGAAAACCGCCAATGGGAAGAAATGTGCCAATAGAGTAAGGATTCCTGGTGGTGGGGTTTTGAGTGATGGTTTTTCTTCTTAATTAATAGCTCTAATTGCTTGTGGTAAGCATGTCAATTCCATATGTAGTAGAAATAGAAAAAAGCATTTAAATCCCCAGGAACCCCTCCCCCTCAGCCCTCTCACTCACTTCTTCACTTTTAACAGTTAGTTGGTTATAGCTATTTCTAGATGTTTTCCTGAATCCACCATATATCGCTTTAATTTATTTTATTTTATTATTTTTTAAAGATTTTATTGGGGAATTGGGGAAAGGGAACAGTGTTGGGGAATTGGAGAGGGGGAACAGCCAAGTTGTTGTCCTTCAATCTTAGTTGTGGAGGGTGCAGCTAGCTCAGTTCCAAGTCCAGTCATCATCCGGCTGCCTGTCAGCAGCTGCTCAGCTCAACGTGATGTGTTCAATCTTAGTTGTGGGTGGGTGTAGCCCACCATTTCATGATTCAAAACGGAAACCTTGTTGTTAGGAGCACGTGCTCTCACCAGCTGAGCCATTCTGCCACCTGTTGGCAGCTCAGCGGCAGCTCAGCTTGGGCGCAGCTCACTGTCCCATGTGGGAATCGAACCGGTGACCATGTTGCTCAGAGCTCAAGCTCTTAACCAACTGAGCCACTCGGCCAGGCCCCACCATATATTGCTTTTAAAATGTACATGTATAATCAGAAAAATCATGGGGTAAGGGGAGAAAACAAACCAAAGGACTCTCAAAGTAAATCTCGACAAAATGGAAAACAGAACTTTACAGGTGTTTTACAAAGCAAGTCTGCCTGTTTAAGGATGAGGAAGCGGGGTTCAGGGGCGCTGGGTGGCCTGCCAAGCTCACAGAGCATTTGTGCCCATTTGTGCCTGGCTGCTGACGCCCAGTCTGCTCTGCTTTGGGGTTGCTCCTCTGGGCTCCGGGAGGAGGTGGGAGGCTGGGCTGGAGGGAGGCCAGGAGGATGCTCTGGGCTGGGTGGGGTGGGCCTGGTGAGGAGCCTTCTGCTTGTTTGTTCTGGGTACTGGGTGATGTGGGAGGAGAGACACCTGGGAAGAAGGGTCCAAAGTCCCCACTTATGGCCTTGGGGGAGTTAATGTGTAATACTCTAGGATATAACCTGGCCGGTGAGGTGAGACCCTGAGCCCAGGCCTCCAGGAGTTACTGAGAGCTGCCTCCAAGAGCTGCCGCCATGTCGGTGAGGATGCTGGCTTCCGTAGTCATCCACATCTTTGCCTGAATGAGGGTGGGGTGGGGTTGCTAGGGGAAAAGCGTCACTGCCCCTCTCCAGGCCTTAGTTTCCCCATCTGTGTAGTGAGGAGGTTGGACAGATCATCTCCGCAGCCCTGCAGCGCCGAGGCGCTCTGCTTCCTCCTCCACCGTGCTGAGCCTGTCTCTTCCACTCTCTAGCCTCAGTTTGCACATCAGTAATAATAATATCTATTGAGCTTTATAAAGATGAAGAAACTGAGGCTCAGAGATTAAATTGCCCAAGGTTACCATCTGTACGTTGCAGGGCATTGAGTGGATGGTCTTTGGAGTCCCTGATTCTTTGATTCCAAACCTGGCTCTGCCATAGCTTGCTGTGCGGCCTTGGATGAGTCACTGCCCCTCTCTGAGCCGAAGTCGCCTGCATTTGGGTCACAGATAGCCTCTTTTGAGGATTAGGTGGGATATTATTAATAGCTTCCTGTATCAGAAATGTATCCTCTTGCAGTTTTAGAGGCTAGAGGCCTGAAATCAAGGTGCCAGCAGGGCCAGGGCCATGCTCTCTCTGAAGGCTCTAGGGAGGACCTTTCTTGTCTCTTCCAGCTCCTGGTGGTGGCTGGCAACCGGAGGCGTTCCCTGGCTTGTAGCCGCAGCACTCAGTCTCTGCCTCCATCCTCAATGTCACGGCTTTCTCCTCTGTGTGTTTGTGTCTCTGGGTCCAAATTTCCCTCTTCTTATAAGAACACCGGTCATATTGGATTCAGGGCCCACCCAAAACCTGTACGACCCCATCTTAACTTGATTACAGCTGCAAAGACCCTATTTCCAAATAGGCCACATTTACAGGTTCCAGGTGGACAGGATTTTTTTGGGAACACTATTCAAGGCAATACAGGTGGGATGCAGAGTTTGAATGTGACTGGAAGGGGTCATGTGTGGAAGGAATGAAGTTCTCCCCACCCTCTGACTCTCAGGGAGGGCCTTTGGGGCCCAGACACTTTCCTCACTGTCTCTTTCTCCTGGTCATCCCGCCCCCTCCCCCCCCTCCTTCTTTCCTCCTTCTCCAGAGACCACCTAGTCCAAGTCTCTTATATTACAGATCGGGCAACCGAGGACCAGGGAGTGGCACAGCTGGCCCCAGGCCACTCGCCAGTTTAGGAATAGAGCTGGCATTAGACCCGGACCACTGACACCACCCCACCCCACCCCAGCTTTGCCTTCTGTCTGCTTGGGCCTCAGGCTTTGTTGAGTGGGGACCAGGATGCCGGGCCTGTACACTTCCACAGGTACCCCTATTAGTCGAGCTGCACCCCAACCCTGGATAACAATAAGTAATTCTAATAACGGCCACCCCTCGATTTGCCTTAGTCTGTGCCTGGCCCTATGCATGGGGCTTCACAAATACGACCTCAAATTCTCCCAACCAGCTTGAAGGTGGGTGCTACTAACCTCAAGGCCTTCAATAGCGTCTATTACACAGAGGACACTTAGCAACTGGTTTTGAATGAATACATCAAATCAGCACATTTTATAGGTGAGGAAAATGAGATTTGGAGAGGGTCTTTGATGGACATTTCAGACGTGTGACTTCTGGAGTTTTATAGACTCTAAGTTTTGGATGGACCAAGACCTGCACACCTTTGATACAGTCATTTTCTGTTAGGAAATTGACTCCAAGTTTGTGCAGGAACGAAACATGTCCTCGTTTGGGGGATTCTGCTAAGGCCACTGTGCCTTCATCACTTGAACACATTTGAGAACCCTGAGATCAGCAGGGACCAGTCTATCCATTTCACAGATGGGCGAACTGAAGTACCCCTAGCTGAGCCCTATGTCTCCAGATCCAGCTGTTCTGCTAATCGGGCTAGGATGGATGTGAGCAAAGCAAAATGGACCACAGGGGGCCTCTGGGAAGCTTTGATCCGAGCACTGGCTCTCTCCCTTTCCAGCTCAGCTCCGTCATGTGGGCAGGGGGAGAGTGAGACCTGTGGCCAGGTCGAGATGGGATGATAATGATGAAAAGCATCTGGAAACGTGTGTGATTGATCTTTTTGTGGACTGGTTTTCTGTTGGTGCAGGGGAAATTTGAGATTACGAACATGAACATGAAGTTGGGGACAACCCTGAAGATCAAGGGCAAGATCGCTGATGATACTGATAGGTGAGCAAAGGGGAAGGTGGGGTGTAGGAGAGGGGACCGTCCGCAGACCCTGAACAGGCCAGGAGGGTGGGGGCAGGCAGGGCAGCACAATGAGATGGTCAGAGATGAGAGTGATCTCAGGCCAAATGGGCTTTTTTTTACATCCTTGTTCACTCTCACACCCCTGCTGTCTCCTGTCCTCTTAGGACCCGCCTTCATATCTGAGGCTAGGTGTGGGGACCCTCTGAATTCCACAGCTGACGCTATATGCTCTATTCTTTGGCCCCAACAGACACTGGAAGGGCAGGTGAGGTAGCCCCTGGAACTCTGCGCACTCCTGTGGGTCAGGTGCCTCTACTGAAGGCAGCCCCGCCCTGCACCCCCCAGGGACACCACCCTCTTTACCTAGCTGAGCGGCTGGGGGCCACACACGTTAAACCAGAGGCAGCCACCAGGGGGCGCCAAATGGCCTTGTTTGCATCCTCTCCATTAGAAGCAGGCACAATTTTATCCACCTGGCGGGATTGCAGCTCAGCACTGGGCTCTCATGTGTGTAGAACAATTTCAGCATTCCTTGGGACTGATCTCCATCACCTTTTGGTTGGGAAGGGGCCAGGCAGATGCATGGGATAGGAGCCAAAAGAAAACTCACCCCTTTCTCCCACTTGGGTCCCTCAAGGTTACAGAAAAGTGAGATACCTCTGATCTGAGACCTCCCAAAGGCACCCCGTGACCCAGAATGTTTCATTCTCAGGGACCCTTAAGATCTAACCTAGGCTCCTGTAGTGATCCTACCAAGAAGTCACACAACCCGGGTTGCATATCTCTGATGACAGGGAGCTCCCCAGCTTAGTTTGACAACTATTTATGGCCAAACTTAATAGGTCTTCAGATAGCTAAAGACAGCAGTTCTCTCCCCCCCCCCCCCCCCCCCCCCCCCCCCCGGGATAGGCACTCCTAATTCCTGGAACTTTCACTGTCAGTTCCTCTTCTGTAGAGAGCCTTAGTTTGTGCTCCTAATGGAATGCGATAATCCAGTGCCAAGTCTGACCATGTTGTCACCTCTCTTGTTTTAAGGCACAGGTCTCAATTAACACAACCTTTCTTTGGTGATTCCTCCAGCTTGTGATCAACCAAGACCCTGTGACCCAAACTGTTTTACCCAGAGCAGGCCCCTAATACTTACCTGTTACCCCTTCCTCTGCAGTTTTATCATTAACCTGGGCCAAGGGACAGATAAATTGGACCTGCATTTCAACCCACGCTTCAGTGAATCCACCATCATCTGCAACTCACTGGATGGCGAATGGGGGCAGGAACAAAGGGAAGATCACCTGTGCTTCAGCCCAGGGTCAGAGGTCAAGGTGAGGTCAAAGGGGAGAGGGAGGGACCTGAGGACAATGTCAAAGGGAGAGCCCAGATGGTAGGGAACCCTGGGCTAGACACATACTGGCACTGTTTGAGCCATCAGGCACTGCCCTGGCCCATTTCCAGGGTGCCTCCTGACTCCCTGACTCCCTCCTTTCCACTGCAGTTCACCGTGACCTTTGAGAGAGATGAATTTAAGGTGAAGCTGCCAGACGGGCACCAGATGACCTTTCCTAATAGGCTGGGCCACAGCCACCTGAGCTACCTGAGCGTGCAGGGCGGGTTTAACATCTCCTCTTTCAAGCTTGACTGAGCAGGCAGCACCTCACCCGAATGACGGACCCCCGGCACTGACTCCCTACCCTGAGCTTCTTCCCAGTCACACTGGACCGGCAGCCCTTGGGTCTTGGCTCCCCACCTGCATTTACTGCCCCTCTGACCCCATTTTCCTCTCCTAAGGCTAAGAACAAACTAAAGAATCCATCTTTACCCAGTCTTTCTGTGGCACAAACCGTGGTTGGTGTTTTCCATGCATTTTAATGCTCAGTATCCTCATAATACAGAGGAAACTGAGGCACAGGCCTGCCAAGTGGGGGTTGGGACATGCTCCCAAATACCTACCTCTAAGCACCCACTCCTGCTTACCTATCCCCTGTTATCACCAGGGAGAGTGCCAAGCTGCCCTGTGGGATTATGGGGCAGGCACTAGCTCCAGGCACCTGGGCCAGGGGCTATTCCCGGAACTGCAGATAAGGGCTCCCACCTGGGCCTCTTATCACAGGAACATTCATTCCAGTCTGGTTACTCATTACCTAGGCCCATCCCCTCACTGGGGGCCCAGGGGGGGGGGTCCTTGGCGTCCAAACCCAATGCTGAGGGTATTTAAGCAGGTGGAGCTGACGCTGTTCTCCCAGGTCCCCAAACATCTTGCAGGACACCTTTTATCAAAAAAGCCTTTTTTAATCAGGACCCAGAGGCAGGTCTGGGGTGCACAGGAAGTTGGGGGGGAGGTCACACCTGATTCTTCTCTGAGGCTTCTGGGACGAGAGGGGTTGGGGTGGGAATGTTGGGGAAGCCGCCGTAGCAAGGGCTGGGGCTCAGGGATGCAGCGGGAACCTGCTGGGGGCAGCTCCAGGATGAGCTGGGGCAGGCCGTCCCTTTGGGAGGAGACAAAGGCCCTGTGTGGTATGCTTCCTACCCCCCAGCCAGAAAGGTCAGCTTCCCTAGCACAAAGGCAGCACTGTGAGGCTGGGCCCTGCAGCCAGTGGGGGCGGGGCTGAAGAAGTGGCCATTGGGTCTGGAGTGGCAGTGGGGGGAGGCAGGTCAGCCTGGCAGGGCCCTCGGAACATCCAGGTCCCAGAACAAGCCTAGCCTCCCTCCCAGGTCTGTCCTGCAGAGTGGAAGGGTTTGGGGGCAACTTAGGTTCTCCCATCTGTCGTTGGCGGGACCCAGCTGTCAGGTGAGGGGCTGGCTCTGCATTTGGGCTCTTCATGGGCAGCGGCCTGAGGCTGGGCCGGGTCCTGAGCCCATGCTCAGCCATTCACACCTTGACCTCGTCGTCCTCCTCAGCATCGGCAAACTCAAAAGTGTTTGCTTGCACTGCGCGGGGCACAGGGGCCCTGCTGCCTGCCTGGGGTGACCCCCACTCTTCGTCCAGGCTCTCCCAAGAGGCCCGAGCTTGGGGTAGCACCTCCACCAGCTCCCGCCGGGCATCCATTTCAGTGTAGTGGCGGGTGCCCCAGCCTGCTCCCCAGTGCCTGCCAGGGACCATGTCAGCAGGTGGGCGGGGACACTCTCCCATCGGGCTGACCCTCGCTTCAGCCATTGGGCCCAACCCAGTGGTTACCCCATTGGGGTAGTGTCCACGGGGTGGAGGGCTTGAGGCATGGGCTGGGGGATTTGTGGCAGGGGCTGGGGGGTTTGTGGCAGGGGCTGAGGCTGGGGGGGTTGCAGCAGAGGCTGGGGCTGGGGTCTCAGCTGCAGAGGTTTCTGAGAGGCTCATGACCCCCAGCAGCTCGCTGAGGAGAGAGGGCCCAAGGTCAAGGTCCAGGCGGAAGGACAGAAGGGAGTCAGAGCGGCGGAGCTCAGGCTCAGAGGGGAAGGAACTGTCACGGTCTCGGTCACGAGTCTTTTCTGGGCGAGACAAGCGGGATATGGTGCAGAACCCGGAGTCCAGGCCTAGAAGAGAAATGGAGAAATGGGGCATGGGGTCAGAGCTGGGTCCTTAACCAGGAATTGAGGAGGGGAGAGCCAGCGCCAACCCCAGCTTGCTATGTGGCCTCTAGCAAGTCGCTCCCCGATCTGGTCTCAGTTTCTCACATCGCTCCAATATAGTGAGCCCCATGGCCTCTTGTGTGGGCCTCCTGTCAATCCTGGAAGCTGAAAATTGACATCATTCTCATTCCCATTTTGCAGAGGAAGAAAGTGAGGCTCAATTTGGAAGGAGGGGAAGGGCTTGCCTAGGGCCACAGTCTGATGGGGTGGAGCCATGCCTGAGCTTAAATCTCCTGACTTTTAGTCCCAACTATGAACTTGGCCATGGCCCCTGGTCTCCTGTCATGACAGTGGCCGATGGCTAAAGTTGAACACTCAGCATGTGGGCTGATCACAGGGATGGAACCAGCAGCTAGGGTCTGACTGCATAGAAGTCACAGACTCTAAAGACAGGCAGATGCTCTCCAAAGGTCCAGGCCCTGGCTCCAGGGCTACCAGGCCTGAGACACAGCGGGGTTACTGAGGACCAGCCCTCAGTGGGGTTCCCGCCAGTGACCCGCAGGGGGAGCACTAGAGGCAGCCGCAGGTGGTTGGGGCAAGGCTGCAGGGAAGTGGATGGCCGCCAGGTGGCAGCAGGACCCCCGTTCCCAGGTGAACTGTCCAGCAGAGCCCAGGCGGCACCTGCCTGTCCCCACCAGGGCAAGAAGGGCTTCTGGCTTCTGTCCATGTGAGTGATTTTCCAAATTTGTCAGTGTATTTTGGGGAGTGAATTGGTTCCCACCCCTTGACCCATCCACGGTCTGGGGTTTGGGCCTGACCTCCATGATGAAACCAAACTACTGTGGGGGAAAAGGGCTCACTCGGAGGCGTGGCTGAACCATCGAACCCTCTGGGCCTCAGCATCTGAAAAATGAGCAAATAACCCAGGCGCTCACCATAACTGGAGTGGCCGTCCGTGGAGCCGGCAGGGCTGCTGTCGAAGCTGAACTTGCTCACCACAAGGCTGTCGTAGGTGGCCTGGTTGAGCTGGGGCAGGGAGATGGCGTTCTTGATGATGGGGGAGATGGCGGGTGGAGCAGGCGAGGAAGCCTGTGGGGAAGCTATCCTCCGGGATGGCACCCCCACTCTGCGCACCTGCTGTAGCTTCTTGGCCAGGAAGCTGCGGGGCGAGCGGTGGGTGCCCCCAGAGCTGCCGTGGTGGTTGCTGAGGAAGGAGGTGTCACCAAAGACATCCCCACCGCGGCCCACGTGCATAGTGTGGCGGAAGTCCCCAAGTGGGGGGCTGATCATGTCTGCAGTCAGCCGCCTTTTCCCCTGGGAGCTGGATACCCAGCCCACAGGCGAGAGCTTGCCCAGGTTCATGGCGGGGACTCCTCTGGCCCCCTGGGGGCCTGGCATCAGCTCTAGCTGTTCACAGCTGCTGGTGCATGCCCACTTAGGGCCTGGCGTGGGTGGTGGGCTAGGATCAGGGTCCACTTCTCAGCTCCTTCCTTCCCACTGTAAGGCGGTGGACAGAGGCTGTCTCTCTGTTCTCCTAAGGTGCTGCCCCCAAACACTGAGGCTGTGGCGGGTCCATGGCTTGTCTCTCCCTGAGGCCTGGCTCCTGGACTCGTGGAAGCAGCTATAGATGGTCCGTCCAAGAACAGAGAAGGCACAAGATGTGCCTCAAACATGGACAGCCCGTCTCCTGACCAGGGTAGAGACCTGAAAGACAGACAGAGAGAAAAGTGATGGTAGGCCTGGGGAATCCTGGGTCCAAATACTAACAGCTAAAGAGAACACACAATGGGGCCGGCCGAGTGGCTCAGTTGGTTAAGAGCTTGCTCAAGAGTGTGAGCTCTGAGCAACAGCGGTTCGACACCCAGCCCAAGCTGAGCTGCCGCTGAACTGTCAACAGATGGCGGGATGGCTCAGCTAAAAAAAACAAAACAAAACAGAGAACACACAATGATAGCCAACAACAGGGTGGGGATCACAGACAAAATGCCGAGCAGACACACAACGGATGACACATTCCATGTATAGGATTTAAGAACAGGCCAAGCTAAACAGTGATAGAAATCAGAATTGCAGTTGCCTTTTGATTGGCACAAAGAATTCATCAAGCTATACACTGAAGACATGTGTACATTACATCTTCAGATGTGTGTATGGTCATTATACAGGGCCCATTTATGAAACACCTACTAAGTGCCAACAACTTTTGTCCATCACTCATTTAACCCATACAACAGCCCCGAGGAAGGCACTACATTAGAGTGGAGACACTGAGGCACAAAGAAGTGAAGTGATTTGCCTGAGGCTACACAGGAGGAAATGGTGAAGCAGGGCCTCCCAGATCCCTTGAGCCCCAAGCTACACTGCCTCCTGCTGGAAGGTTGAGCAAGTCACTTCCCTTCTCCATGGGTTAGATTGTCTTGATTCAATGGCCAGGAGGGAGGTGGTGCCCGGCAAAGGCTTTGAAGAGTTGTGTAAACAGTCTAGCAGAGGTTCCTGAGAACCCTCCGCCTTCAAGGTGCTTCCTGGAAAAAGGATCCTGTGGTCGAAAGTGGCTTTTTCCAGATGCCTCCTTATTGCCTGAGCGTATTCTTTATCATAGTTTGTCATAGTGACGTAGGAGCTTTCTCATCAGGGAACAAGTTTTGGAAAAAGCTCAGCTGGTGCCAAAGCTATTCCTTGCCCACTCTCACCCCTCCTGATCTCCCCACAACCCCCGTCTTCTCTAAGCTCCTCTTGGTCTGGCCCTCTCCCTTCTAGCATCATTGGAGGTGCAGGACGAAGGACACCTATGGGGCTTATGGTCCAACCACCAGTTTTCCTGTGGCCCAGAGCAGAACCAAGTTTGCTCAAGGTCACATCAAGAGAACTAGTTGAAACTTGAACTCAGAGCCTCTGACTCACAAAGCCTTTTAACTTGCTCCTGGAGCCCAATCTTGTCTCCCCAGATTGGCAGAACCCTCTGAGGGTGGGGCAGCTGCCTGGATTTTCCTGCCTTCCTCCTTTCCAGCCCCAGCTTGGGCTCTGCACATGGCAATGCCAAATCAATACTGGTTTAATCAGGAGATCTTCATGCCACAGGATAACCTTCATGCCAAATGATCACCCCTTACCACCTTCCAAGGGAGAGTAGGTAGGGGATTCAGTGGCCTCACCATGTGACCTTGGGCAAGTCACTTACCTCCACAGGCCTGGAACCTCAGCTGATAAAAGCTGATAATAATCCCAAACAAGAACACCTAGACCTGGGTCTCAACATTTTTTAAAAAAACTTTGCTGCCATCTCCAAACATAAAAATCTCAATACTGCCCTTTGACTGTTATTTGAAATTCAAAATAGGTTAAATAACAAGATAAAAACAAAGAAGGCAATACAACAAAGCTCACTTTGTTTTCCGACTACATTCTCTTCCCTTCCCAACATCTGATCCTCCCCCAACCCTAACTCCTCCCCCCGGGGGGTGGGGTATTCTGAATCATTCTTTACCCTGGCACCCACGGCACCAAGAAGTCCTCGTGGAATGTTTGTTGTAGTTATGAGGCGCTCTGCAGTTGGTCAACCTTTATATGATGTCATCTGACTCTCCAACAGCCCCACAGAGCTACAGGGTTAGCCCATTTCACAGGAAGAGCCAAGGTTTAGAGGGAAGGGACTTGGCCAAGGTCACACAGCAGGTACATGGAACAGGCCAGGTTTCTCTGCTCTGCAGATGAGGGATGAATCTCTGCGGGAAGGAATTGGGGGGGGGGCGGGACGGGTCATTCTGAAATGTCATATGGAGGGGACACTGTGTCTGCCCTGTGGTCACATCCACCTCTCTCTCTCCTAGTCCCCCAACTTCCTGGCTTCTTGAAACAAGTCTTCCCTCTCATCAAAAAGGGCTTGGGCTCCCACCCAATCCCCATGGCCACTTTAACCTGGGAGACCAGCTTCCACGCCAGTCTTGTGATGGTCCCACCTCCCAAATGCCTCTGGGCATCTCCAAGAGGTTTCCACCTGCCCACTGCAGTAGAGAGACCCTGCCATGTTCTGGGGCCAAAGACAGGACACTGTTACTGGGAACATGTTTTTTTCCCACGTGGAAAATAAGAACAGCATCAAAAGTCCCCTCCCAGGAGAGTTGTAAGAGTGAACGTTGCTGTAGTTAAACCCCCTGTTGCTGGAGCAGGGTAGCTCTAGATTCAAGTCCAACATCCTTATACTAACATCTCTCATTCTGGGGACTCTTGGTGGCAGCTATCTGGCACTTGATGCAGACCACAGTATTGCTGGTGATCAAATATGCTCTACCTGGCCCTGAAGTAAGCAGGGGTCTGGGTGACCTGGTACAAGGCCTAGCTCCCCTCACTAGCCCTGGAATACTATCTGCTAATGCTCACAGCACCCATTTTACAGATGAAAAAAAGGCACAGAAAGAGAATTATCTTGCCCCAGATCACACAGCAGAAAAAGTGGAATGGCTGGGAACCTCCCAGGATTCTACTAACATCAGGAGTAAATGCTGGGGGTGGGTGAAGACTCTAGGGGCATAGGGGAGAGTTGTTGGAAGAGGCCATAGCCAGCCAGCCTGGGAGACCGGGAAGGACAGAGCTGGGAGGCAGCAGAGACTCAGCTCTGCAGATTCAGTGTGCCTATGGCCTGGGCAAGCGTGGTTACCATGCAGCCTCGGTGTCCCAGGAGTCTTTATATTTACTCTACAGAGGATAGTCAGGCCTGGGCATATGGTAGGAGCTTACTCAACGGTGGTAAGGACCGCAAAGACGAGGTTTGAGGCCCCAGGCAGGGGCCCTGTATTGGGAGAGGCCAACAGGGGCCGCTGTGGAGGCACATGTGGTTGGGGGCAGGCCAGGAACCCGTCTGACTGCAGGGGGTAGGGCAGAGGCGCGGGCAGAGGCGCAGGCAGGGGCAGCCGCACCTTGGCGCTCACCTGGGGATCACCCGCGAGGCCCTGGTGTCCTCGAGGGGCGCCACCTCTTATCCTGGAGGCCACTCGCGTGCACACAGCCCCCTCCCGCAAGGGTCCCCTGGGTAACACCACTCCTACGGATAGACAGCGGGACCCTATCTTGGTTAGGGCTGCTCTGGCCCCTGGAATAGGGGTTAACTCCCTGGGGGCTGGCTTCTCATGCTCTTCCAAGGGCAGCTGCTTCAGGTGGAGAGACTGAGAAACTGGGAGCAGGTTAGGAGGAGGGTACACTATGGACCCCAGGGGAGGTGGGAGGAAGAGGGGCTGGACGCTTCTAGCCCCACCATCCCAAGTTAGTTAGAGCCAAGTCCGCTCCTCACTGGGCGAGGCAGAGCGGCTACGGGCCAGTCTCCCACAGACTTGGGTTACAGTGCCCGCACCGCGTTTCGTGCCGCGGTGGCCTCCAGGTCAGTTCCTTGGCCTCGCTGAGCCTCAGTGTCCCGGTCTAGAAAATGGGCTTCAGGCGTCGCAGGTCTTGAAATGGTTGGGGCAAGGGCAGACCATCTCGAGGGCAGTTGGGGTTGGAAGTCCGGGAAAGCCTTCAGCCACAAAACATTCCTTCTGGGGGGCAGGAGGTTCGAATGTGGAAAAGTCGCTCCGCGGGGGAAGGGGACAGCGGGCTGCCTTGGCCCGAGGGGAACCGGACGAGATGACCTCATCTGCTGCTCGGGACTGGAATGCGGCGGTTGGGGAGGGGGCAGGGTGCCTGGTCCATCTCCCTGGCGGGACCCCCCCCCCCCACTTCCCGCTCTCTGCGCCGGCTTCGTCCAGGGGCCCGACATTCCTACTCATCGCCCCCTCCCGGTTCCTTCCCTTCCCTCCGCAGGGCAGGAAGGAGCTTAGACGGACCTCTGTTCGCCCCCTTCCTCCCGCCCCCCGCTGCACCCTCCTTCCCTCCAATTCTCGGCCCCGCTCCGCCTGCCGGGAACACAGAAAACACCACCCGAAAACTTGGAGCTTCCCGGCGCCGCTCGGCGCTCCGCGCTCCAGGCCTTCCTGTTGGCACCCGGGCGCCTGCGGCGGGCGGTCCCCTCCCCCGTCCCGGCCCGGAGAGCCTAGGCGCGTGCAGTCTCTGCGGGCGCCGCACACCCGCGCCGCGTCCACGACCACCCGAGGCTCGGGGACCCGCGGGCCAGCTCGTTGTTACCTTCTCTCCTCGAGCCTCGGGGACGAGGGCGCGGGCAGACGCGGGAGCAGCGGCGGCGGCGGCGGGAGCGCGTCCCGGCGCGCAGCCGGGGCGAGTCGCTGGGCCGGTCTGCGCCGCCCTGGCCGCGGGCTCCGCGGGCTGGCTCCGGGGC